CTGCTGCATCAGCAGCTCAGGGCTTCTGCGCAAGCCCCAGCTCCTGGAGTCATGGGGTTATGCCGGGGAAAAACTCACCTTCTGTTTAAAGAGCTGAGTCACTCTCCGGACATTATGTGTGGGGAGAGCAGCTCAGAACTGTGACCCCACCTACAGGGCCTGAGGCCATAGAGTAAGTAAGACCCCAAAGGGTTATTTACTGAAATTTCAGGATTTGGAATTCAATCTCGTGATTTGGTGGGGGGGGGGCCTGGGCGCGTGATCTATGAAAACCTTGGGTTTGCAACACTATTTAAACTAGCCTCTTAGGGCATGTGAAGGGAATAGAGGCAGTTCTTGGAGCACTGGGCTCAGGCTCTCTGCAAACTCAGGCAATTGCCGCTGCATCAGTCACACCCAGGGCAGCTCCTCCCTCTCACAGCTCCTCCCTCAGGCTTCGGGCAGCGTGGCACTGGGGGAGGGCGGGGATTTCGGGCAAGGCGGCGCTCTTCTTTTTTGCCTGGGGAGGCAAAAAGTTAGAGCCGGCCCTGCCCCGGGTGGCCGAGGTGCCTGGATGTGGCGAGCGTGGACGAGCTGGACTCCAACGACAAGTACAGCCTGAGCAAGACCACCATCTTCATGCTGCACACCATTAAAACATGAGTGTGGGGGGGACGCTCACCATGGGGCCGGCCCCGAGGACAGCAGCCCAGGGCAGTGGAGATTTGGGGAGGGGTCAAAGGGGATCAATCTCCTCCCCAGGTATCCCAGCAGGGATGGGATGATCTGAGGGTCACGCCAAAGGGGGCCATCTTCTATCTCAGACTCTGCTCCCAGGGCAGGGCTCGTGCCTGCCTCTGTATCTGACATCCTGTAACTGGGCCTTCGTTGGTCACAACTCATCATGCCAAATTCAGGACGAACTGTTGAGAAATAGGGCAAACACAACCCAAACCTGGCTGACCAAACCAGCCACAAAAGTAAACTCCTGTTTCACCACACTGCCTAACAAGAAAACATAAAGGCAGTTTCCTCAGGCATTCCAGTTCTTATATCACCACCCAAACCACTGGGTTCAGAGATGAGTGGTTCTTTACAACCAGTCTCATCAAATATAGTTTCTTCTGATCCCAAAGGACCAGCCACACATCCAGGTCAATATATCACTTAGATGTTCCCCGAAAATCATGCTGATGCCAATCCTGTATTACCTAAAATATAAAGATTTAGTCATAAAAAGAAAGAAAGAAAGAAAGAAAGAAAGAAAGAAAGAAAGAAAGAAAG